GTGCGCTGGGCGGCTGCATCCTTGTACCAATACGTCAAGGAGCTGCTCATGGATATGGTGACGATGGCGAAAATGATGGGTAGCCTCATTCAGAACGCCCCGGGTGCTTTAAGAGCTCTAAAAACGCCCCAACGTGGGGGACGACTGACGACTTGAACTCGGGAGATCACGAACCTTGGAAGATCTCCAACCTGGTGGTCATATTGATGGCCTCAAGACCTGGCCGCCTTTGCTAGACCCCAAACACCCACAAAAACCTCTGGGATCTTCTGTCTTGGGCCTTGATATTCTTGTTGACCTCTCTGTCTCTCTCTCTGTGTTGACCTCTGCAAAGACTTTCTCTGTTTCCCCCATCTGCCAAGATGCCCTTCAATCAAAGCAACCAAAAACTTCTCCTCGAAGGCCGACGGAACGCATTCTGCTGCGATCCGCGCGGTCCGCGCGTCGTCTGCGACGCGTCGTCGTCTGCAACGCCGCGGTGCGCAGCGTCTCCGGCCGTCTCTCAGCTTCAGCCGGAAGCAGAGCAGCTTTGTCGGAAGTCTATCTGCATATCAACTACCGAAAATACGTGTTTTTAAGTGCTGAAATTTGGGTGCCGTATTAACGGTTCGTCTGGAGAAAAAAGAACGACATCTCCTTTCATGCCATCGGGAAAAAAACAATCACGATTGATGCATCAGTTGCATCAGTTGGGCGCCATCTGTACTGTTCTTTCTGCATCACAGAGTCAACATGATCAGTGCAAATCTTCGGGTTGATGCATTTGGCTGCCGTGGTGATGGTGGCCCTGGCGTCCGGGAGACTCGCGCACCCGCGGACCACGCACGATGCCGCATCACTTCACGACTTGGGAAATAGACGTCACTGTGGTTTCAGAGGTTCGATGGCACAGACCCCAAGATCTCGGGGGTCCATATAAACCACTGAACTTGGGGTTGTGCCATCTACTCTCCTACTTGTCATGGATTGCTGACTAACTCATCTGCTCCTGCTCAATCAGTGGATCAGTCCTCGACGGGGCGTTGCTTCAAATTACTTTAAAGACTTTAAGGATCTTGAAGGATCCTAATAGCGATGGCCTCCGACCTACTAGCGATGGCCTCCAAGCTACCAAAACAATACTGTCAAATACTAGACTAGGCCTTTATCTGTCTTTTCTCTGCTGGTGACTAACATGTGACAAAAGATTCAGAGCCCGATCGGTTGCAACCTCCAAAGTCCGAAGCAAGGGCGATCTGCAGCATCAAGCCTGAAGAGCGATGAACGAATGCCTTCGATCAAGCCTGAACACGCTGATCTGAAAAAAATCGGGAGCCAGTCGAGGGGAAATGCGCCAGTTGACCGGCCCCTTTTCATCCCTTTCCTCGCCCTTCGTGTGTTCTCTCCGATATTCCAAGTGCACTCTGATTGCTGTTGGCCCCTTGTGTCTCTCCCTCTCTACATGCTAGAAGCCCTCTGGGCGCCAAGCCCGACATCAACACACTCATCGACATACACGGCTGTGGCCAGAAGAAAGAGAGGCACGAACCTTGGAATAAAACGTGCCGCTTTCTCAAGTTTGAAATGGCACTCAACTTGAACACTCCGAAAAGACCACAGATCAGGAAGACAAACACGAATTACTGGACTTTAGCCATCGACCATACAGGACAGTGCTTGGCTGTGAGCTCCAGGGCTGTCCCCTATCATAGGCGATTTTACAAAGAGCCGTTCGGAGGAGTTCCTGACCTCCAACGTGGCATTCTCAACTTATACGTCATTCATGCACGCCAAGCATCACCACTGCTACCACAACCTTAGAAGGGAATGAAATACATATTATGCCTTCACATCAAAGATCTATCTAATCAATATATTGAGGGTACACAACTGGTACAAATGTACAAAGGTCAAACATGTTTCTGTAGGACACTCGAGAGTGGGACACACAGGAAAGGACACTCTTGCGGAACTCTCTTCTAAAAACACTCTTGTGAAAAACACTCTTAGCTATAGTACTATAGTGCCTGCCAATTTGGGCCATCACTTGGCCTTACCTCGTGTTCCAGTGCCATCGCTCCGTTCGGTTGGACCATTGGAGCCGATCGCGACGATTCCGCCCAAGCTGACGGCGTCCCCCTCGACGCAACGCATCGGAGATGGGCCAAGTCACCCCAAAGGTCAAGCCCTGGCACGAGTGATCCAAAGAGAAATGGTGCAGCACGGGATGCAAATTCGATTCTGATTCAACACCTGGTTTAGGCACAGCAAAACACCTATAGTTAGGTACACCTCGTCTAAGATCTTCTAGACCATTCTAGACCTACAATTGGCTTTAACCTAGATTTGCCCCCCCCAAATCTCCCAACTTCATCGCCCTTTTCCGACCTCAAACACCTCCGCATGTCTCCGTCGCTTCGCGGGGCAGGCTCGGGCGCCTTGCCGGGAGGCGTCGCCATGAGGGAGAAGAAGATCTCCGTGGTGGTTCCCATGGCGATGGCCATCATCACTGCCAAAGAAAAGAACCTCGGATCTGGAGAGTGATCGGGTTTTTGTGGGAAATGGAGCACATGGGTTTTCACTTTCACAGACTCAACTCGAATCGAGAGTGGTGGCTCTTGAGGCTGGGTGATGAACCTTCTGTTTGGGGTTGTAGCTGAAAAGCTGCCAAGGAGGCATCCGAGTTCAGAACACAATATGACAAGCCCACCACGTTAACATGATCTTGTTTTTGGGAGTCGCTCACATGAGTAGAAACATGGAGCCTACATTCACCACCCTGTCCCTTTTCGCCGAAGCATGAGGATATGATCCAGCTGCGCCCCTCTCCGAAAACATCTCATTTCCGCCAAGGAAACACATAGAAGACGCATCGCAATCGAGTAGTGGTCTCGTACCAGTGCCTGCACCAGAAAACTTCTCCCAGCTCAACTGGGGATTCAATCCATCTCTACACACAAATGCAGTTTTTTCTACATGCAACCCTTGAATGAACTACATTGCTATGATCAAATGTCACAGAAAACCTAGCTTACATATTTCATTGTTCAATGAAATTCACTGGAAGGTTCTGCCATCAGATCAGATCTGTTGCAATCTTGGCACGCCAACTACTATGCCTCACCAATAAGAAGCTGTTAGAAACAAGTGCCTTACTACTACTACTACTACTACTACTACTACTACTAGTAACAGGTGCCTTACTAGTAGTAACAATGTTTGCTATTAGAATTAAATACCAGAAAACACCAGCTTCCGCGCCATCGGACGCCACGCTGCTTGCAATCCAAGTGGCTGGTGCATGCCTCGGCTCTCTGGCCGCGAGAGAAAAGACTTCACAATGAGAAAACAAAAACGTGTACACCTGGTAAGATTAACTTGGAACCTTAAAATGGGACCTTTGGAAGACGATTTTCTTCTACAACCCAGTGGTTTTCAGGTTCTATGTTAATCTTTCAGACCTTTAGAGGAGACACCTGTAACTGAAAAACCATGTCTGCAACTCCATGTCTGCACATCCCACATGCGTTGGCGCGAGCTGCGGAAGTCCGTGCTCAAATCATGAGGCCTTGCTTCATCTTGCTTTACGAGAAGTCGCTCTCCGCCTAAAAGATCTGAACGTTGCTTCCAACAGGTCCATGCCAAGCCCGCCCGCCCTGCCGAGCCGCTATCGTCCGGATGCAAGTAGGCCGAAGTTTCGGCCTGATACAGTGCCGGGGCGAAGAAAGCCCAACCCATCCAACAAGAGCAACATCCGGTCGATGATGCCGGAGGATCGCTCCAAAACGACGGATCCGCTAGGATCCAACGGAGGATCCGGTGGAAAACCTTCGGCTTCGGTGTGGGAACGGTGCTCGCCTCGCCTTCGCCACTTCATCAGCACTCGTTGAGCCAGAGGACTCTGCTGAGCCAGAGCCATCATCGCTGACGAGCTCTCCTGAGTTTGGCTCAGATTGAAACTGGTGCAAGGTCTCTGAGAGCATCTGAGTCAGGTGAGCGACCGTGTTTTTCAATTTGCGACCGTTTGTTTTTGGTGCTCACCAAGTGATTCAAATACAAATACAAGAATGACGAAGCACCCACATCAAATTGTTTCCATCCTAGGATGCTGGAACAAACGGTCTACAAGTGCCTTACTGGTGCATTTGCAGGGTAGAGGAAACCTTCAGGCGGCTCACCAACTGATGCTTGCCCATGTTTTGCATGGTTTTTAAGTGCCTTGTGCAATATTCACGGATTTTTCTCTCAACAAACTTTGATGCAAATCAAGCAAATTCTACCCTTTCTCTCATCTTTTGTCCTATGACAATGAAGTCACTTCCGAACACATGGCTCCGCGAACATGAGGGATTTGGGGAGACCAAGATGCCATCAGCTTCCAAGTCTTGGGCCTCGTATCCTCAGCTAGTGTGGAGCATGAGGAAGACATGCGATGTTTAAGACATGAAGACATGATGAAGCGATGGCTTCCATCCTGGGAGCACTGGCCTCCAACCTAGTAGCGATTGCCCATACAGATGTATAAACACACCTGCACTGAGAATCCCAGATTCGGTGAGGAGATGTCGGCATCGCAGCCATGGTCGCCATGGCCCCCTCGCCAAGCAATACTTTTTGGCTTGGGAGGCCAAGCTTACGCTCGAGAAACCGTTCTGTCTCAAACAGAGTCCACTGAGATTCCACTGTCTCACGCTTGCGTCCGAAACCGAGTCGATCAATCGCACAGCGTGAAAGACATGGAATGCCTATGTCACTCTGTGTCAGTGTCTCATTGAAGCATGTCTAGAGCCTAGAGTCTGGATGTTGATGTTACTATATAGCCTAATGTGTCTAACTTAGACTAACAATGTTCTGTCCTGCAAGCTTGAGATACCACAAAGGCAAAGGCACCGCGAACTCTCTTCCACGAGAGACGGGCATAGTGTTGAGATGAACCACACGCGCAAGTCCAAAACAAGGATCAAACAAATAGCAATCCTCTTCGGTATTTACAGTATATTTCACACGCCCATGCTGCATGCCTCCTGCCCTTTGGAAAGCACAACCTCATGAAACAGAAAAAAAGGCGCTCGCTGTTTGGAGGTTACACGGCTCTGCGCAAACATGTCGGAGTCTACAATAGAACCCTTACAAAGACACCCAGGTTCTGGAGACCAGGCGAATTTGAGAGACCACGTGTTGGCACATCTAGCCTAACACACAATAATAGCCACATACATCGGTGAGAATGAAGCCAAGCACATCTCCTACAGTAGGAGGCATTGAGAGGATTTGATGTGTATGTCTTTCTTTTCAAGACTACCGAGCTTCATGACTGCCGCATCCTTCGCATGCTGCACCGCAGACCTAGCACTGCCATTCTGTTGTCTGGGGTCGATCTCTTGTCTCAGGCCATGAAGGAAACAGCTGACTGCTCACGGCACTGCAGCTTGGCCCCTTCAATCACTTCGGTCGTCAATTCGTCCTATCCTTTTCTGAAAGAATTCCGCACACACACAGAGACCTACCCGACCTGCCATGCAAGTGTCTTTGCACCCCGGGCTGCGGAATTGGGGCCACACTCGAAGATTGCGCGGTTGGGCTGCGCAATGGCATACTGCCTCAGTCATCAGGAGCGTCACTGAAGATTCTCTGATCAAAAATGGGCCCAAAGTGACCCGAAAGGTTTGCTCAAAGGTTGTGGATTCGTGGATAGAAAAGTCCAAAAGTTTGTTCACAAATTGAACTTAAAGAACTTCTTGCTGAACCACCCAATGCCAATGTTCGCTTCAGAACGTCATGATGTCTGTCAACCTCGGCCATCGGCTCCATGCTTTGCGCTGCTTGAAGCTGTCGTTCCACCTGACAAGCTGCCGGGGTGTTGTGGAATGAAAATCCACGCTGGTATATGGGAGGGACGCTGTGGGATGCGCGAGAAAACAACGTATATGATAAGAGAAATCAAATACAGTATATCATATACATCCGATTTCAGCATCACCTTGAGCCTTGTGTGGGGTTTGGGCACTATTTGTTGTCACAGGGGTCTTGATATCACACACACACACACACGCACACGCACACACACACCAACTTGGATCGAGTCTGAACGCGCCTCACAGCCCTTGCGATCGAGGTAAGACGTGAGAAACTAGGAAGCAGGAATCTAGACTCTAGACTGTACACACGCACACCAGTGAATGATTCATAATGATTCACATGGGTAAATCCACATGAGGTCTTCCTATACACATCAAGTCCAATTCACCTGCGTGAGACCGAAGGTATTGAGGTCGGGGTGCTGAACGACTTCAGCAAGTGCGATTTGTGATTTCACATGCCCCACTGCATGATTTGCCGGAAAGAATGCTCGTGCAAAGTCTCTTCTGTAACAATGAGACATCAGCAACATGAAACGACTCGTCTCCGTGCGCGTCAAATGCGCAACAAGTCAAGCAGCCGTCCTGTTCCACAACATCTGCACAACTTTCCACACCACACACCAGTTGCCGTGTCTAGCAGCAGGAAGCAAAGCTATAATGGTTTCATGGAAATTATAAGTTTCCATTTCCCTGTTCTTGTCCGCTTCCCTGTGCTTCTCAGCTCCAGCTTTGAGCAACAACCGCCCAACCTCCCAATGGCCGTTACAGGCTGCAAGAAGCAAAGCCGTCATAGAGGTTTCTCGAAAATCTCTGTTCTTGTCAGCTCCATCTTTGAGCAGAAACTGCACAACCTCCAAGTGGCAGTTGCAGGCTGCAAGAAGCAAAGCCTTCATAGTGGTTTCTCGAAAATCCCTGTTCTTGTCAGCTCCAGATCCGAGCAACAACCGCACAACCTCCAAGTGGCCATTTGAGGCCGCACCATGCAAAGCGTTTGCCCCGCTGAACTGTGCTTCATCCTTTTCGGCTTCAAGATTGAGCAACCATTGCATGAGCGTCAAGTAGCCAGCTGTTGCGAGCAAAAACGCAATTCCTCCAAGCGTGCAGTCTCACTTGCTTTAAGCCAGTTGTGCAAAAAACAGGCGTCCTGAGTTCCTCTCCCTGCTTCCAGTAACAACCGCACAACTTCGAACTGGCCATTCCCAGCTACAAAAGGCACAGGTGTTGCCCGATCTTCCGTTGCAACATCTTTGTCAGCCCCAGCCGCCAGCAAGAACTGCACAATTCGCAAGTGGCCTTCACAGCTGCAGCATACAAAGCCGTTGCCCCACTCTTTTGAGCTGCATTCTTGTCAGCTCCAGCATTCAGCAACAAGCGCACAACTTCGAAGTGGCCCTTCTCGGCTGCAATGATCAAAGCCGTTGCCCCATTGTCCAATGCTGTATCTTTGTCAGCCCCAGCTTCGAGCAACATCCGTGCCACGTCCAAGTGGCCATTTTGGCATGCAAAGTACAAAGCTGTTCCCTCACGTACTCGAGCTGCATCTGGTGCAGCTCCAGCATTCAGCAACAGGCGCGCTACTTCTAAGTGGCCATTCTGAGCTGCATTGGACAAAGCCCATGCCCCTTCTTCAGTTGCTGCAGTTGCAACATGTTTGTCAGCTCCAGCTTCCAGCAACAACTGCACAAGTTCCAAGCTGCCGACATCAGCGGCAACATGAATTGGTGCATAGTTGGCGTTTGCATCTGTTGCCCTGACATTCCGCGGGTCCTGTGGCCTCTGAAGCAGCTGGGCAACCTCGTCCACGCGATTCTCTTCACAGTACTGAAGCAGTTTCTTCTCCATCGTCTCATCAGCACAAAAGTCTAGGATGACCAACTGCACACTAGGCAGCGGCCTTAAAGACATGTCATCTAGGAGCTCACCAATTCCGTGACCAAAAAGCCTCAGCCTAAACCTGGAACATCCAACACGATCGGCCAGAATTCGCTTCAAGTCTAAAACCCATTGCGTCTGTTCCACCATACACTGGAACTCATCCTCATCCAACTGGGCGACTGTTGCGCCAAACAAAAGAAAGACTCCGTATATATCGAGTCTTCGCACCGACGATAGCCACAGCTTGTAAAGGGCCTTTCATGTCGGAACCTTAGTAATTCTTGCCTTCGCTGTTCCTCTCCTTTTTAGAGGCCCTATCAAATAATTGTTATATAAATACATTTAAATACGGTTTATGCCTTTTACAATCTTTATATACTATATACAATTCTCCTGAATTCTCTGTAAGTTCACTGAAACACTGAAACCTGCCTTCTCGGCCGTGGCGAAGGTTCGCGTGAAGTCACGGCGCCTTGGCCAAAACTGAGCGAGGAGTTCCTCCGAGCGAGCTTGAACATGGAAGAAATCCTTTACATCTTTAATGGTCACAACACCTCTTTACAAGAAGATGACGAATTCAATCCAATTCATTCGAAATTCATTCAACTTCACGGAAGGGTCTAGCAACTTAAAATCTATTAGGGTTCTTCGACAGGACAGGACATGGAGACCTTGTCATCCGTGTTTGAAGTTCCAGGTGCACGTCGAACGGAAAAAACGCAAACCTGAACAGCCCATGGTTTCGTGCCTCAACTGCTGGGTAACGACCGGAGGACTGGTTCGACAGCTGCAGGCCGGTTGCAGCTGTCGAACGTGTCTCAGATGCGCACAGTGGTTCTCCCATCTGATCGTCATCCAGGGAGACTTTGAGCGCCTAGAAGGAGGGCAATGCACAGTCCTATTTTGTGGCTGTGACTGCGAAAATTATTGTCCATTCTGCGGGACACTGCGTTCATCAGCTCCAATCAATGATCTTGAAGCCCAGCGCTGCCCCAAGAAGCCCCTCTGCCCATTGATCACCGGTGATCCACTTGTTCGCAGCGTGGTGAAGGCCTTCTCCAGCAAGGACAAGGCCTGGGAACATCGGATTCCCCAGACTCTGTCAGATCTGACTCTGGAGACTGCTAAAAACCCGAAAACACCGGGAGGTGAGACCGCGAGTCGTCTCGAACCGAGTCGTCTCGATGTGTTGGGGATGAAAGCGAAGAAACGAAGTCCGGTTTTTGTGAAAGAAGTGCCACGAAAACGGCCAGATCTGTCGGCGTGTTCGCTGGAACCGACCTTTGGGCGTCGAACCCGCACCAAGAGTGTCAAAGCTTCCACTGGCGCTTGCTCCACCAGCCTGACCACGGGGACGCTCACGGTCGAGGCTCACAACAGCTCGGAACAAAGTTGGCTTTGAAGCGGCTTTGAATCACAAGTTTAGAAAGGAAACACACTTCTCAGGCTTTCATGTAGGAGCAAGTGCGTTGCCATGACCGTCACTGGTGTTTCCTCCACTTCCTGTCTTCTCCTGTCACCGGACATCGTTAGCCACGCATCACCTTTTCCTCACTCGTCTTAGCAGCGATCTCCCTGGGCCCTTCGATCTGTCCGACTGCAGGTCACGCTGTGCTTTCAGGGGCAGGGCACTTGGCTCATGTTCTTTCGTGAAAGAGGTGGGGGAGGCTAGTAGCGTCCCCCAAAAGTCCTGGACGCACTCGTCTTGCATCCTTCGTGTGAAGATCCTGGAGCCGGAAGTGGTGCCGTTGCTATGCTGGAGCCGCAAAAAGGTTCCGCTCTGACTTCTGCCCAGCTTTGACCCACAAATGCACACCGGCCGAATCCCTCTCAGTGGATGGCTCCTGGTCTGCACGCCAGGCATGCGAAAGGGACACGCCAGGGGGTTTTGGATGGTGCTGGGATGGTGCTTTGGATCCCGCAAGGATTTAGCGCAACATGTGTTACAGTAGCTCAATATCCTCAACTGCCGCATCAGTTGGCTCTTCTCCCGGGCGTAGAAGATGAAGGAACTCCCGGGCTGTTGGACACTACTTAGTTACTCTGACTGTTGCGACTCGTAGGGAATAAGGGAATTGAGCCCCCAATATCCCCCAATAGAGATTCGATTGGATCCATTCCCTCATTCCCTGCTAAGCACCAGTCAGTACTTGAAGATACTAGAAACATTAAGCCCAGCCATGCCAGCCCAGCGGACTCTCTCCTCTGCACGGCCCTTCTTGAGCCAACAACTAGTAGCGGTACTTGGTACAGTAGTCCTGCAGGGCAGGTGCAAGCAACCCTTTGCTTTCCGGAAAGGCTTGGCGTGGGAATCCTGGGGCCACGATAGAAACAAGAGCATGTCTATGCAGGTCTATGCATATCTATGCAGTCCTCTGGTTCATACATGTTTCTTTGGCAAAAAAAAACGCACATGTTGCATGGTGCTGATTCACGAAGAAGGTCTACAGGCGCTACATATGCCCCAGAACATGGAGTTATCCAAAACCATCCTTCATCTCTGGCAGGCCGCACTTGCTTTCCATGGTGTGTCTGTGATGGTTTGTTTTCATGGTCTGGTCCTTGGGAGACATCACTAGACCTCGGCCCTTGCGGGCACCACGATAGATGGTCTCGACAATGTCAATGAACTCCTCCGCTGAAAACGCTCCGTTGCTCACGAGGCTTGCCGAAAGCTCAGAATGGCGCAACGAATGGCCCTGACTCTGGCCAAGTGGTCGAACTTGGCCAGGCAAAATGCATCAATGTGCAGAATCTATTCCAAGGATGGACCATCTGCTTCCATCTGCTTCTTCAAGATCATCATTATCATAAGTTACAGAGTGAAATCGGCTCCCGTGCCTGCTTGTCATTCATGGCCCAGTTCACTTTGTTGTTGTTTCCTGCGATGGCACTTGATGGCGCGAGCCCGTCACTTGCTGCCGTGGCTTTCATGCTCCAGTGCTGCCAGCACTGCTGGCGCCAGCTCTCTCTCTCTCTCTCAATCAGTTTAAAATGCTCCTGTGCCCAAGTCAATCATCATGTGCTTGTTTCGGAAGAAGAACATCACCGTTACCGGATCGTAGAGCCTCAGTGCTGAGTCCTCTCTCCACTTTGGTCCACCTCCAACGGAGTCCAAACGGATGATCCATGGAGTCCAATCTTCTGGAGCCCACCGACTCCAACTAGCCAGGCGGCTCGTACATCGTGTTGAAATCTGGCACTTCTTTCACATCCACCAGGTAGATGATAGCGAAACTCTTGATCTTCTCCTCATGGTGAACATGTGAAACCCTGCGAAACTCGATCGTACTCGTACGGCGATCGTACTCGAATTGCGTGACTGTGCCGAGGTACCGCAATGGAGTACAGGATCTCGTCCATCCTTGGATCGAATGGAGTTGTCTCCCCCGAAAACAGCTGGAAAGAAGAAACACAAACACAAGCAATGCCTTGGCATTCGCAACCATGGCTTTCGGCAGGAAAAAGAAAAAGAACACCATATTCTTGGACCAGTCGCTTCATGCACTCAGAATCGTAGTCGTGGCCGAAGCGAATGATCACAAGACGTTCTTCTTCACCTTGGCTTCTTCCACCAGGCGGCGCTGAGTGTCTTTGGTCCAAACAGGCGAAAAGGGACTAGCGGAGGTCTCCCCTAGGCCATCACTGTGGGCATGGAGTTGCTAGCAAAAAAAGACTAGCGGAGCTAGCTCTCCATCTGAGGGATAGAATTATAAGCTGCAAAATGGAAGGCGGCCAGTGGACTAGTGACTAGTGACTGCATGTGACTACCCCGTGAGCTTTGTGCAGGTGGGTGGCTCAGAATGGCCTGGTCCACAGCCCAGCCAGAGTGAAGATGGGGAAGCATGAACGACATGGCTGCGACCACAAAGACCTCAAGGGGGACACAGCCAGCTGCTGTTGAACATCACGATCATACCAGCATAACATGTCTGTCACTGAAGTGGTGGGGCAAGTGAACAGTCCTTCTCAGCCTTCTGAGGGCGGCTCCTTCTTTGGAGGCACCAGGAAATCAGGAAACGGCTTGACTTGACCCAAGCAGGCTTGACCCAAGTGTCACGAGTGTTTCGATTTGATTCGATCGATGATTCACAGCAGCTTCATATTGAGTGGTGGCGATCTCATGCAAGACCAAGCGACAGCAAAACTGTAGGCTTTTGAGGAAGTCTCTACAGCAAAACTGACATAAAAACGGCCAAGCGTGCTCCACCTGAGGGCTAGCTGCTCCAACGTGCGCGCAATGCGATTGAGATTGCTGCCTAGGACCCAAGGAGCTGAGGTCAGCGAGGCAAGGGGCATGGCCACAAAGAAACATAAAAAAAATATCATGTTTGCAAAAAAAAAGAAGAACCACCTAATTGTTATGGCCTCCACCCTACTAGCGATGGCCTCCAACCTAAGAGCCATGGCCTCCTCAAGCTTTGAAGACTTGGAACTTATCTAGGTCATCTTTCTACAAACCATCTTGATGATCGGTATGCTGCATACATTTATACAATATATGTATACAGCAAGGTACGGTACATATGTCTATATATAGACCAGTCACAGTCTTCTGGCAGTCTGAGTGCCCATTGTCGCCCCAATGTCACCACTTAGCTCTGGGCAAAAGCTACTGGCTGCCTTGGCACAAAAATAATTAACCAACAAATCCCCTACAGGATGAATTTTTGGGCCATCAACAGCGGGCCATAGCTTCAGTGGACCCTACCAATTTTTGCTGAGCCCCCGGCCAATGCAGGGGTTGGGCCCTTTCCCCGCGCGAAGGAGGTGGGCGTGTTGCTGGCCAAGACCACCTGGCAACCCCAAATTGGCTACTGCAGGTCTCAACTGGCTTTTGAAACTTTATGAACCTGTAGTTAGCAAACCAACAAACACTCGACAAAGTTGTACCTGCCGAATCCTGCAAACCAAACATGCACCGAGGACATAGTCTTCGTCCATGTTACCATTCCTCAGTAAAGCATTGGAAAGCACATTTGGATTCATGATTACAAGGTGCTCTAGTAGAGGCTCTTTCGGTCATACGGAGTCATACTCATGGTCCAATGGTGATCACTGGGGCACCCCAGCCGCCTTGGGAGTTCCTGTGGAACACGGACCGATGGCAGGCGCATCACGGACCGACTCGATGTCCATAGCGAGATCACGCCTCACTGGCAGCGGCGCACGCCTTGTGGGTGTCCTGACAGACTGAGGATGATCGGATCGGATTCGGACCTTTCACCCGATTGGTGGAGATGAACAAATTGGGATTCGACCTGTCCCCTTGCGCCAAGTGATAATAGGTGATAATACATTTATGAAGTTGACCCCCTATATGACGGCTGTCACCACTTCGCCCCGCGCTACCTCGTTGGCCACTGGGCACAGCTTCAGAACCACTGCAGCTCGACCAACGCGAACGCTACGTGTATGACAACGACATGATTTCGGGTCGATCTGATCACCGCTGCTTCAAACGCCGCAGCTGAAGCGACGCCCGGTCCCGCCGTGCACCGTTGATGACCTGCGTGGCCATCTGGATTCTTTTGGGACCAATTGTCCATAGGCGAAAGGGTGTGTGGGAAAGTAATGTTCATCATTCTTGCGCCGACCAAAGCCACAACCTCTGACGAACAACCCCCCCACCTCAGCCATGAACGGAGACACCTGGATGCCGGGCATCGAAACCAAAACATTGGCGGAACTGAGGAATTGGGGAAACGAGCGGTCCAACTAGTGACTGGTGGTAAGAAGTTGTTGTTGAGAAGAGTGAGGCTTGCTTAGGCTTGATTCTACGAGTAGCCGGTCATGACCGGCATTCCCATCAGAACACGCACATCAATGCGCTTCCAGCTCTTCACCTCGCCATTTTGTTCACCCACAAAAGGCCTACTGCTGATTGAGGCTTCGACATTGCCAGGGATGGCGGGAACCTTGTCAGCAGAAGGCCGAAGGATTGATTGGTGAATCAGCTTGAGCACAGCAAGCGCTCCTCATCTGGTCTTGGGGCAAATCTGCTCAACACACTTTCTGACAGCCTATAGGGCCTATCGACTTGTTTGAATTCGGTGTGTTTGATATCCATTTAGGTCAATTCACCTCATGTGAAAGGTGCGCTGACGCATCTCTCCACGTCAGCATCTCTACTCGTCTAGGCATGCGGCATCTTTGGCAATGCCCACCTTAGGGGGTCACACGGAGACAAGAAACTTCGCCAGTCATCCAGCTTTTCTAGTGGCAAGGTATTGCAGCAATGATCTGGCAGGCAACGCCACAACGCCGCCACTCAGCATCCCATTACAGAACATCCCGAATTCTTCACCGCGCTACTGCATCCCAGTTAGCATCGTTCGCCTGCTGTGGTTCAATGTGATCCGACTAAACAGCAGATCCGACGTGTTTCCTTTAAAACATCCTTGCTGTCCATCCCAGAGTGTGCCCCGGTGGGGGGGCACAGTTCCAGTTCCATTCCTGATCCAGTTCCAGTGGGGAACACTATGGTCCATCCCGGTCACATCCCTTTCAGAGTGAAGTCTGCTCTGGTCGTACCTCTGAAGCCGTCAGCTCCTCCACCTTCTTCACCGTCTCTCCAGCTTCGCCTGCGCGAGCTCAAGACCGGACACCGCGGTCCGAGTCGGCAGGCGCGGTCGAGTCGGCTCGGCTGGAACCCGGCTTTGACATGTGGAGCAAGGACGCTACGAACGTAGCTCCTGGCCTTACTACTCCCAGACACGACCTGTTTGGGGACTGCCATATATGCCGCCCCATTGACCCCCAAAACCACCCCAATGTAGGCATATTTGGCATACATGGAGTGTCTGGGACTAGTAACAAGAAACCACGAACGTAACACAGGGCATCGCTACGAACGGAGCGATCGGACGCTAGTAAGCTACTAGCGAGACGCGGGACGCGTGATTTGATTCGCCCCCCCCATGGCGAGCATGGGAAGCCTGACACCAAATCTGGAGTGCTACGATAGGCACTACGATAGGCTTGTTACGGCTTGTTCGTCAAACTCCCGCACAACACGGTAGTTGTGCTGATCTGGTGTGGATGCCTCGATATCCACTGCCGGCACTGCCTCGGGACAGGTTGTCACACGACGAACACATATCACATGGAAGTGAAAACCACCCTGCTAGTAACAAGTGCCACGCTTCTAGTAACAGGTGCCACGCTACTAGGAACAAGAAGCTATTAAAAACAATAAGCTACTAGAAACAATTAAATTAGACTTAAATTAAAGTAAAAGCTTCTTGTTACTAGTAAGGCACCTGTTACTACTAGCGTGGCACGTGTTACTAATAGCTTCTTGTTACTATTGGTAGAGGAAAGTAGTAGGCACTATGGCTCAAGCCGTCAAGGGGCTTTTCCTGACACTAACTCCCTTCTGGACATTTTCCCCCTATTTTTCAATTCTGCACACATTTCGTTGACTTCTTCTTTGTGTCGCCAGCATTTTTTTGAGGTCGACGGCATGTGTGGATGCGCTACGAGGAAGGCCTGGAAACACGAATTGCCATTGCTCTTGTGGTCTGTAGTTTTATCGCCATGGGTTTGATATGTTTTGATATGCTTCGTTGAATTTGGAAGGCTTGAGTGGCACATGATGGTTGACAGTATGGTTGACGATCTTCAGATGCACTCTCTTTCTTCAAGGGCAAAACGGAAATGTTGGAGGGAACCAGTGGCTTTTCAACAGCTGGACGAGATGTCAAGGGTGAGTCCATAACCTGACAAGAGGGGCAGTTTTCTTGGTCTGAACATTTGCGGATCCTTTGTGGTTGCCTTCTTGTTTATGTTTCGGTTTCTAGCTGCGATTTGAGAGGATGCCTTTCTACATGATCTACATGGCTAGTGCTACTACAGTCACTGTCGCATTTGACTGCACTTGGCTCTGACAACTTGGCTTCACGTGCTGTTGCGCCAGTGATCCCCCGATCGCAGGACGGTGCGATGCTGCAGGCGTCGAAGGGATAATGTTGAGCAATGGCATCGTGGGTGCAAAGGCAATGAACTGATTGTTGTTCTGCTGAGGGACGAATATGATGCGAACTCTGCTTGAGTCATGGACGACTTTTTTCCGGTGATGCCTTGGATGAAAAGCGTCAAAAGATGTCAAAAGGGTATGATGGCGAGGTGTGTCATTCTGCAAGCTTCCAATACCTACGAGCCATTCACTGGGGCACTGAGGTGAACCGCTGATACTCCTGTTAGCCTCGCTAAGCTGTGGCGCTCTGTGATTGGTGACTGTATTTGTGGGATGCCATATCTCCGCATCCCAAAACGGGATTTGACATCTTGAAATGTCTTTGGTTTCTAAGTTTCTCATTAAATTGTTGCAGTATAGAGGGAATGGTTACCTTTCGGCCCTTGCGGTGTGGATCTCTTCAGGGAATAGGCCTGAGACTTCCTCCCCGTGGTACTAGTCATTCTTACACCGTGTCAACGAGTCATTCTGAGCACATCTACACCCGGTTTCGAACCGGCCGGGGTGGGTGTACACGGAGGTGTCATTCCGTGCGGGACGAGGTTAGGGACCATTTCCTTTCGGGACCATTTCGGTGTCTGCTGGACGGGTGTGATGACCCCAATCTGATCAGAAAGGGATGTCACCAGCGCAGGAGTTTTCAGCACAACAAAAAAGCTGTGTCTTTTGAAGTGAAGTCATTTAGATCTGCTCAATGAAGGAGACCTAGCAGACTGTGTGAAGCTGGCATCTTACTACATCTTGCTGTACTTGCAACATAGCTGTCTCTTGAATTTGACTTATGACACCCTCCCTGCACCGACCAGCATCCTACCAGCCCGAGGTTCAGCAAACCTAGTGCTGAGATCCCAGCTGCTTGCAGTCACGAAGCCTGTACCTTGTGCCTCTTCAGTGATATCTCGCGGACCTAGTTCCGAGGCCAATGCAGGAGGACGAGTCGCAAGTCCTTCTTGGAGCATGAGTCTGAAGCTAGGACTGACCAGGAGATCTAGAAGCCCAGAACCACCGCTGGACACAGAGGCTTACAATAGCTTAGATTCATCAGTCCAAAAGAGATATTGAGTATCGGACTCTCCTCCGGTGAGCAATATGCCTTGGAGAGCGAGGCTAAGAGGGCCCGTCTAAGAGGGCCCTCTAGAGGCACCGTCTGAGAAATGTCTGAGGCCCGAGCAGGAGATGCACCACGTGACTGGGGCAATGCCTGGACTGAAAGAGGCGACCCAATCACGGCTGGACTTCAGGATACGGAGATCCAAGAACCCCCGCGAACAACTCATCCCAACACCTCTTCCAACCACCCTCTTCCAAACCCTCGCGAATGGTGGCATGCTTGCTCTTCCTGGTGGACCCGTGCCACTCGTCATTCCAAGTGCCTTGTCAATCCAGTCTGTCATGATGAAGCTACCATCCGCGGCCTCCTTGCAGCCCAGGCCACATCCAAGTCTTGGAAGAAGACCCCCAGAACCCATGGGGCAAGGCATGTCACGATCAACTTATTCATTCAAAAAGCACATAATTAAGCACTCCTGTACAGTCTCGGCCACAGCTGGTTGACTTGCATCTGCCGCCTAAGCGCCACGCAAGCAGCACACAGCACCGACACTCCACAAAAAGCCAGTCTCAGTGAATTCTTCCCTTAAAGGGTGATAGGGCAATGGACCCTCAAGAAGCGATTCCAAACCACCTGCAAATCAGTCATTGGGATGGTGGATCTGAGATACAGACCGTTTCAAGGCCTGAGTAGACCAAACAGTTTGCTTTCACTCGCCTGCCCTTGGGTTCAAGCTTCGCTGGTTGAGCCGTATCTAAGAGTGGGGGAAAACCGCCCAGGAAATGCACAAAATGACTGGGCTCATCAAAATGAGCGCGCCTACAAAAGTAATCCGATCTAATCCGTAATCCCCTTGGGATTAAGGATTATGTTTGATGAGGCCAATATGATCAATATGGAGGAGATTCCAAGCCCGGAACTCACATAAGGGTGCTGCATGAATTCCTGCCATGAGCACACGTGAGCACATATGAGCAGTGTCGTATGCACACAACATGAACACCCGATACTTCACCCATGGGTGTGCAAAGTCAAGGCTCTCACTAGCAGTCACTAGCACGACAACCTTCACCAGTCCCAACAGCACAACCACATCACCAAGGCCCAACCTGGCTAGAGAGACGCTGAGAGGGGCTGTGTACCAAAAGAGCTCGCAAGAACTGCTGACCTCAAGCAAACGCTGAGGCTTTCCTGAAGGTGATATGCTGAATGAATGTGTTCCCTTTCGTTCCCTTTCAGACTCCTGCAGGAGTGGATGAGTTCCGACGATCGCTGAGGCTTCGCGCCCTGTGTTGACAACTGTACACCTTCAAAAGACAAGGCCGTGCTCTTCTCAATGTTCGCCTCAGCGGTGGAAGACTCGTTCGGTTCGCGGGTTCGGAGACTCGCCAAGGGCCAAGCCAAGAGTTGCAAAGGGTTTGTCCCGGAGAAGGGTGTCCTGGGAGAGTTGAAGGTCGGACGATGACGAAAAACAACGCACTTGATTCACGAGTGAAATGTTTCTAATAGCTTCTCGTTACTACTAGTAACTTGTTACTACTAGTAAGGCCCTTGCTCCTAGTAGCGATGCACTTGTTCCTAGTAGGTTTCTAAGCAGAAAAAAGTCGTAGCACTTGATTCACGACTTGGCGAATATGATCACGACTTGGGGCGAGTGAATATGACTCGGCTTGTTCGAGGTCACCAAGTTGCTCTGCTGCTTGGCTGCTTTTCACTAACAAACCTCACCAAAGCGGTGAGGGCTCATGTTGATTCATCTTGATTCATGTTCTCCTTCCGAGCAAGAGCTCGTACAGAATCGCCCCAACCTCAAGCAGCCACTGCTTTGACTGTCAGGGCAGGCCGCGAAGACGTGTCTTTTTGTTGGTGGATGGTGTTGTTCTGGTGGCGACGCGTTGGGGTTTTCTGAGGCCATCTTTTTGCCCTCCTGCTCCAACGAAGTCGAAGCCACGGGAACCCTTAAGATCGCCCGAAGTGGAGTGGAGTGCTTTGGGAACAAAGTCCAGGATCATGGCCGTTCCCGAAAATCCTCTAAGCTTGACAGCGCTAAAGTTAAAGTTTTAGATTGTTTTCAGACCAAACTCCACAAACGTCTGAACTCTTAAGTACCTCCTCGTGCTTTTTCTTTCCATGGACACTGGATCCACAAGAACCTGTGAGATCATGGCCGACCACAGGTCTGCTTTTGCATCGTAGGGCTCGTGTCCTGAGACAAAATCAGTTTGTCGCTGAACGATGTGTGTGTGCAAAAAATCAGAGGCAAATCGCCTCGTGGCTTCGATTGAAAGCGAAAACTGGGCATATAGACATATATAGACCATAGACCTCCCAATCGGTAGTAAAAGTAGATCCCGACTCAAAATCTATTGGCAACCTGTGCCACTAGCTATTGGGGGACCACTATAGATGCAACTTGGCATTCACTTCTCGACGCCTTTGACGCGCCAAGGGCTTGGCTTAGAATCTCTGGAGCCATATAGAGCGGTGAGCCACACACGGTGGCTGCCTGGTCGAAGAACAGATCTCAAATCCTTCTATTTTCTGCATTTGCACGACGCTTTTGTACATCAAGTTGGTCAGCAAAAGAACACAACATACGTACCACCTGCCTGTGAACATTCTTCCGTGAGCAACTTTAAACATTAAGTACAGCAATTATCTTAGGGTGTCGAGTCATGAGTCATGAGCTGGAGAGCTTGTTTCCTTCTGGTCACTCCAGTCGTTCAGATCGAGCAACCCGGGCCATGTCTTGTGGCTGCAGGGCTCTTGCAAAGCCGAAGTCTGCTAGCTTGAGCACCGGGTCGATGGAATCTGAGTAGAACCGGGAGGTTGAGCACCGCATCGAGTCGGCAGTTGGGAGATACAGGGGGCAAAGGGCATCGCTACTAGGAGCAAGGCAGTTGTGATGGCAAGTGGGTAGTCGATGTGGTAGTGATGCCCATTTCATCGCGAAACCTCTTGAAACCTAGTCGCCTAGCCCTCGACTGTCAAGGTCCCGTGCTGTCCAGCGCATCGACCCTCCAACTACCAGCTGGCGGAGTCCAACGACCGGTGCCAAGCCACTGTCGCTGAGGAGGATGTTCTGCGGCTTCAGGTCACGATGTAAGTGGTTGGAACTGTGCAGCACCTGAGCAGCGAGCTTGGGTCGATCTCCGCACACCGCATGGGACTTGCCAAGAGGTCCAGTTCGGGATCCAATTGCCGGGTGTCCCACTGGGTCCAGCATCCACAAGTTTCCACTTGGCAAGTTGCGAAACAGTTTGAAAAGAAGCTTGACATCAGGCTGTTGCAACGAGACTTTAAGACTTGGAGCCAGGTTCCAATTACATTGGTGTTCCTTTTCCTTGGAGACAAGCTTGACATCAGGTTGTTCCTTCTCTTCTATCTTCTGAATCTGCGAAAAACTTTAGACCTCCGGACATCTTTGCACCGTGTGTCTTTTCCCTTTGTTCCCGGTCTTGAAAACAACAACCAAAGAAACTCCGGTTTCGCTACTAGCTCTTGTTCCCCATGAAACTCTGCTGCAGTGGACCCTTCTCCCGCCTCCATCTCCCGTCGCCCACGTTCGTCTGAGGACGCCACAAACAATCCGCTGGCAATCTGCTTCAAGAAGCGCCGAGCCGTCTGGACAACAACTAGAATCACTCCCACCTACCTGCAGTCTGTCAACCCCACGACAGAGTCTTCCACTGCGCAGCATTGGTCTTCGCCCTGTTTTCGTGTCACTCATGTCCATTCCCCGTTCGCTCGCTCTCTGAGGTCCCAAGGTCCGAACCTGAGGTCTCACAACGGCTGACTTCACACCCAGCCTCTTCGTGCACCCGGCCTTTCCTGATTGGGCCAAAACTTGGACGGAAACGTGTCAGTGACTCGAGTCACTGCCCAATCAATTACACCCTGGAAGACTAACATGGACCCTGAAAAACACTGGTTGGTAGAGGAAAACACTCTTCCAGGGGGCCAGACAGTCAGGGTCTATGTTAGTTTTCGGGAGTGTAATGGTCAAGACGTGGGTGCCTGCGACTGGTCGCGGCAGGGGAAAAATCATGGGACAGCCCTGCGGACGGGTGAGCAGTTCGTTTTGCGCCTGGCGTGCTGGGGATATAGGTTGGGTGGCTCGCATGGTTTGCATCGCAGCCGCAGAGTCCAGAATCCAGGGGTTACGAGCATCTGCTTCCCCAAAGTTGGACAAGCCTTGCACCATTGTGTTCCATCTGAATCAATGGATAGGAGCAAAAAGAAGGAGGGGGGCGGAGGAAACACCGCGAAGAGCAGGCACGGCTTGCAAAACCGCAAGCTCGGTGACGAAGCCGGGTGCCGAAGCTATGCAGCTTGTACTAGTTGTTTCAACCGACAGTGACGAAGTGTTCATTCTTTGTTGGGCCAAGTTGTTGACTAGATTTCTTTGCCAGAATCGGAGGATTTCAGAACGCATTGCCAGGGTTGCGAAAGGTTGGCAGAGAGATGCCCAGAGAAAAGTATGTCCAAAAGAGAGGTTTCAACGATTTCCGATTAATGCATCCAAAAGCAGTGGAGGCTTCTGAACAGTATCCCAAAGATTCCTAAAGCAAGGATTTGGAGATTTATGATGGAGAGAGACTGCAACACACATAAACAAACTCCAATGACAACATGACAGCAAAGCACGGAAATCACTACGGAAATCGTTTGACAACACCCTACGACGGTGCAACAGCCGCGACCACATCACGTGGCATCACATTAACCCGACTGAAAAGGACATCAACCATTATCGATAATAAAAAACAAAATATGTATATATATATATGGTATGAAACATACATACATATTATATATGTGAAATTGCCCTTGGAGTGCATTTCTTGTCAGGTGTCCTCACGTGGCCATATTGGCTGAAGGCCTTGAGCCGTTGTTCGGCTTGATCGGAAAAGGCGCGTGCCGCTATGTCGTGAGGTCTAGTGACCTAGGACCGGTTGCAGTTGATTGTGATCTACATTGACATTGAGTTGTTGGGTATTTGCTGCTACCAGTTCCGCATGGTAGCGGAGCCCCGCTCCAAGGGGCTACCGTTGACCACCAGTTGTTGACAACAGTTGTTGGTGTGGTGCGACCATCCTGGTCGCCAGTGTGCAGTGACACAAGTCACTGATCCAACAGGATCATTCTGATCCAATGGAGTCGAAGGACCAGTCCTTCTACTCTTTGAGCTTTGATGGCAAGCCCGCGTCGTACCGCGAGTTCAGAAGAAAGACAATCCTTGCAGTCGCAAGCCTGGAATCAAAGCATGTGCACTTAGTTGGACCTCGCCTCCTCGCTCGCCTCACTGGTGAAGCCTACAGGGCAACAGAACATCTGAATGTTTCAGAGTTGAGACAAGAAGATGGCTGGACAAAGGTGATTCGTGCGTTGGATGCTCACTACCAGTTTCTGCCTGAGACAGAAATGCATGATGCTGTTGATTCATTTCTCTTTGACCTCAAAAGACGTCCACGCGAAGGTGCAACAAGTTTTGCTTCGCGTTTCAAGACAGCGTTGGCGCGTGTTCAAACTTTGATTGCACAAGAACATGAGACGCTCAAGGTCAAACGGAGACGACAGGGGAAAGGTCCCAAAGATGCTGTCGAACCGACAGATGAAGAAACCTATGATGAGGACATTCATGGACGCTTCTTTGAGAGCTTTCACCGTCAGCCTCCAGCTGGCCCTGCCGCGTCAGCTGCAGGTGCAAGACCGGCCTCAGCACCGGGTGAACACGAGCGAGAGGAACCACCTCCTCCCGCCGATGCTGAGGTACACACGGAGCCTGCGCGAAGCAGGCCGGCTTCAACGACAAGTTCAAAGAGAAAGGCAGAATCCAAAGGTACTCAAGCTGCTGATGAAGAAAAAGACCGATTGAAGATGGAACAAATGCTGGGCAACATTGAAAAAGGTCACCTCAAGCCGAAGCCTATTTTCCCACAGACAGTGTTGGGGCATTTGTTCATGAAGAAGTTTGGGCTTTCATGTGAACAGAAAGCTCAGGTGATCCGCGCAACAGGTGGCTCAGCTCGGTTCCAGGATGTGGAGAAGATCCTCCGTGCCTCAGACATGGAAGAGTCACGTTCCAATCCGGAGAACCGTCGCTTCGACACACGTCGTCCACATCCTCCTCCACGACGGCGTGACACCTTTGTAGCACAGGCCGCAGTTCCGGAAGGAGATTCATCAGGACTTGAAGACATAGAAGAGCTCGCACTCTGCAGTGAATCTGGTTCAGAAGAAGCGTTGGTCGCCGACGGAGACGGCGATGAACAAGCCGTGGATTCAGAGCTGGAAGCTGAGTTGTAGGAAGTGTACGAGGTCAAACAAAAGGCCAAAAAGGACTTCAAGAAGTCGTTCAAAACATACAAAGAGACACGAAAGAAAGTGAGAGAGTTGAAAAGAGCAAGACAGCCTTATTTCCCAGTGGTGGCCATACAGCCAGAATCAGGAGGTCCACCATCGGGGACAGGGACAAGCACATCGTCGCAGATGCCGGCAAAACAATCCTTTCGTTATGACAAGTCCGGACAGAACAGTCGAGGTGGCCCCAAGGCCTTTCCTCGCAAGAAACCGGAAGTTCGTCCGAGACGCGAGGATGCCAATTTTGCAGAAGCAGGGTATGTCACAGAATTCAACTACATGATCAACGAGGGACAGCCTTTGGAGATTCTTTTAGCATCAATACCATTGGGTTGTGTGATCATTGATACAGGTTGTACAACGTCAGTTGTTGGTCGGGAAACAGCACAAGAGTTAACAGCCATGATGAAGCAATATGGTTTTCCCTTGCCTGTTGATGTTGAATTGCCGCCAGTAGAGCTCCGAGGTTTTTCTGGAGAAAAGACCACAACCACCTCAGGTCTGAAGTGGACAGTCAAATTGGGATCTCTCTGGGGCACAGTGACAACATATGTCATCGAGGGCCGAACACCGTTTTTGCTCTCACGCCGTGTGCTTGAAGGAATGCAAGCAACTCTTGATCTTGGTGCCGGCACCATTTCGAGTGAGAAGCATCACATGTCCGCAGTACCTCTCAAGCGTGCCGCCAATGGCCATTTGTTGCTGCCGATCTGTGAATTCCCCTCGGAATACCAAGCGGAGGAAGCTGCCTTTGCAGGCACGACCGCGCCATCAGAGGAAGCTGCCGTCGCCGGCACGCCCGTGCCATCAAAGCCAAGCCTGACAGCCATGAGTCAGGTTATCAATGAGCCCAATGCACCATGTGCACCATCCGCAAGGCACAGTGAAGAGCCTAAACAAAAGAAACAGTTTAAAACGTCATCTAGAGATAGAATCTTGAGCCGAAAGAAAGCTTTGCAACACATGAAAAACACTAGGCAAGGTATCGTGAACATGAGTCGTTTTCACGAAGAACTGAAAATAGTGTTTGGGGATAGAGCTCATGAGTGCAAACAGTGTTTCGTTGCTTATAGGCCTCGACTAGAGCGTACTCCGGAAGATGCAATGCATCAGCCGTATCTAAGAGCTGTTGCAACCCTTTCGACAGAAGGAATCCTTGAAATAACCCCGTGGATTCACCGCGCTCCAGGCCGAGAGAGACAACGTGTCGGCCAGACCAATGTGGCCGTGTATGCATTCATTCCAGTGGAGCAGCCACCGCCGCCTGAGCCTCATCCTGAGCAGGATCACCCTGCCTGCCTGTGTTGCAGTGAGCATTGTGTAGAGGGTGAAATAAATATGGTAAAAGACTACAGCCCTAATCTCCAGACAGTGTATGAAGAAACGGACTGGGTGGATGTAGGTCAGAAACCCATAAATAAGCCAACTACACACAAGCTCCTTGGCCAGATCGGTTCACTGCGTCAGGTCAATGCCAAACTGATCTTATCACGTATGTCCCAGGAGAAACATGTCATGAAAAGAAGAACTAAGGGATTGGTTGAAAGATCAAGCTTGGAAACTGGATGCCGATGTTTCGATGATTGAAGTGTTCACTGGAAAGGCACCTCTTTCGAAACATGTGCACCAAGCCACAAATAAACCATGCATTACATTAGGTTGGGACTATGGGCAGGACTTTGATAGACTCACCGACCGAAAAATGCTTTTGTACTTGTTGGCAACCGTTCGTGCGCCGCATGTTTGGTTTTCGTTTCCATGTGGATGTTGGGGACCATGGAGTCGGTTCAACATGGCAAAAGGACCTGAGCAGCGAGATAGGATTTTGCAGAAGAGGCAGACCGCCAAACGGCACCTCCGAGCGGTGTCTGAAGCCTGGCATTTGCAACAATTGTTGGGAGGGCACTGTCATGCCGAAAACCCGTACACAGAAGCATGGGGGCAACTGAGTTTGGGTAGGGCGCATGATGTACGAATAGACATGTGCAGCCTGGGTATGAGATGTCCCAAAACTAATATGCCTGTGCTGAAACCAACCCGCATAATCACAACTATGGATGAAATGGCAGAATGTTTGGTGAAATGCAGGTGTGATCACAAACACACCCATGCCCACCTTGAAGGGAACTACAAGGGTCGTAATCTTTCCTCCTGGTGTGAAACATACCCATCCAAGTTTTGCAGAACTGTTGCAAGCGTGCTAAGTGCCTGGCAGCCTGTAAGACCTCCGATAGAGGATGTGTTTGCTGCAGAGGATGCCGATTCGGATGTCGAGATGCAACCAATCGGAGATGTCGCCCCAGACCTTGGGAGCCCAGTTGTTGTGCCAGCCAGACAACGTCCTGCAAGAATAAAAGCACTTGTGAATAAGCTGCACATAAACACTGGCCATGCATCTCCAGAACAGATGCTTCGACTTGCCAAGCGATGTCAGTCATCCCAAGAGCTGCAGCGAGCCATTCGTCCAG